ATGCTTAGTTTTGCAGTTCTCAAACTGTGTATTTGTGTCTCCAGAGAGAACAGCAAAAATGTTTTTAATAAATAAATAAATAAATAGACCTCAACCCTATTGTCCCTCTGCAAATTTGTGTACACAGAGTCAATCCCTTACCTCTCTCTAAAAGTGCAAAGTTTCAAAAAGTTCAATGAATAGAAGATTATTGGGGGTGGAATAGATCTGGACAAGGAGAAGATGTCTGGAGATAAATGTGAGAAGGGAGGGACAGGCAGAAGAAACAAAAGTGAAACTGTTTGAGCAGCATATTCCAGAAGTCTTGAGGTCTTTCTGAGTGTAGCCTTCATTGATTTGAGATCTACCATACCATTCTCTCACTAGAAGGGAAAACCTAGGCTGGCAGCAGGCCGTAAAAGAGACCCAGTCTGGGAATATTTTCATGAAGTTCCTCTACCTGTGGGTAAGACAGGCAGGCGTGCAAAATGCAAACAGTGCAACAAAGAAATGCAAGGCCCAGTTGCCCGAATGAAACAACCTCATGAGAAGTGTTCCTTCTCAGGAGGAAGTTGTGTTGAAGATAATGAAAGGAACATGTCTGAACATGCAGGATCTTCAGGTTGGTAAACTTTTTTATTTCATACTTCTTTCTTAAAGGACTGCCTGTCTTCCTTCTGGACTCTTCTTCAATTCTCATGTTTGAGCAAAAAATATAACATCACCATTATTTTCTATAGTTTCAGAGTTATCTGCCAATGATAGTGTTTCAGTCACATCATGTAGGTCACATAGCCACAGTAGATCATCTGTAGCAAAAAGAAAAAAAAATCTCCATCATCCAGAAACAACCATGGATACGTTTGTGAGAAGAACCAGCAGATTACAAAAAGAGGTCACTGATGAAAAAATTGCCCCGTTTGTTTATACAACAAACTCTCCTTTCCGTATGACTGAGAACGGACACTTCATTAACATGGTTCAGTCATTAAGACCAGGATACAGTCCACCCAACAGAGCAGATGTCCCAGGCAAATTGCTGGATAAAGTGTATGAAAGAGAAATTGAGCAGTGTGCAAAAGGTCTAGAGGGTGAAATTGTTAACCTGAGTCTTGATGGGTGGAGCAATGTCCACAATGATCCTGTTGTATGTGCTTGTGTGACAACAGAAGAAGGGAATGTCTTCCTTACTGAAACAACTGATACATCAGGAAATGCGCACACAGCAGAATACTTACAAGAAGTAGCAGTAAAAGCTATAACAAACTGTGAAAAAAAATTCAAATGTCTAGTACGCAGCTTGGTCACGGACAATGCTGCAAATGTATCCAAGATGAGAAGAAATTATGTGAAGAGAGTCCCAAGCTAACAACATACGGTTGCAGTGCTCCTTTGAGGCACCTCCTAGCCAAAGACTTCAGTTTCCAGAAATAAAGGCTAACGTTGTTGAAATTGCAAAATACTTCCGAAACAACCACTTTGCAGCAGCTGCTCTGAAAAAAGTGGGAGGAACCAAGCTAACTCTCCCACAAGACGTGCGATGGAACTCAGTAGTGGACTGTTTTGAGCACTATATCAAGAACTGGCCTAATCTGATGACAGTTTGTGAACAAAAACGTGAAAAAATAGATGGCTCTGTCACAGTCAAAGTTCTCAACATTGGGCTTAAGAGAAACGTTGAACACATACGGAGTACCCTGAAGCCTAGTTCTGTAGCCTTGAACAAAATTCAGGGAAATAGCTGTTTTATTGCTGATGCTGTTGAAATCTGGAAGGAACGGAGTGAGATCTTAAAGAGAGAAATATGCAATGACAGAGTTACATTACAAGCATTAAAAAAAGCCAATGGGACAAGCACCATCTCCAGCTCATTTTCTTGCAAATATTCTCAATGTTTGGTGCCGGGGTCAAACCTTAACTGGTGAAGTAGAGGAGTTGGCTATGACATGGACATAGGGTGACAAGATAGCAAATTTGAAAAATCGAGACAGGGGGTGAGGTGTAATAGGAGCCTATATTAGAAAAAAAAATACCCCAAAATCGTGACATCTGGTCACCCTACATGGACATCCAGCAATCCTCCCTCCAAAATGCCACCTATAATAAACTTCAGCGTTAAGAGTGAACCATTCAAGAAATACATGTTTGCTGATGATGTTTTAAAGAAAGTCACACCAGTGAACTGGTGGAAGTCACTTATGCACTTGGATTCAAAGATTGTTGAAGTGATAATCTCACTGTTAACAGCAGTAGCTTCTTGTGCCGGTGTAGAAAGAATATTTTCTTCCTTTGGACTAATTCATTCCAAATTGAGAAATCGTTTGGGACCTGAAAAAGCAGGAAAGCTTGTTTTTCTTTTCCAGATTATGAACGAACAGGAAAATGAAGGTGAAGACGACTGAGTTAGCTGCAGAAAACAATATTTTAAGTTTCTCATGCTGACCTGGCTGACATAGACAATTTAATTTTTGTTTTTAAGTAAAAATATTTCATTTAACTATTTTAGTTCAAAGGTATTTTAACAAAAACAAACCTGATTTTTAAAAAACTTGAATGTTTAACTAAATTCAAACATTCATATGCTTGTTTTGTTAAAATATTATATGTTTGCTGTTGAAGAAAAAAATCCAGAATGCATAACATTGTTGTTTTAGCTAAATAAAACAATTTAAATGTCTGTCTGGTGATGTTCTCCTCCTAATCCAGCATGGCAAGAAAATCCTCCAAATATTAATGATTAACCTGTTGAATTGGAGATAGTTCACCTCCCCATGACTTCATAAATATCTGCTTCAATTACCTTTGGTAAATGAAATAACCAAACAATCATTCATTTTCTGATATAGCTGTAAAACTAATCTGAAAAGTTTTCAAAATAAATCACTTCTAAAAATGAAACCTACATCTATCTCTGAGTTGTGAAGAATATGTATTAAGGTTATAACAACCAACAAGAATGCACTTTTATATTGAAATCCATGATTAAATTGATTCTTCCAGACTAGAGATTTTAATCAAATCCACCCTGCTTATAATGAAACAAACGAAGGTTTATTTAGGAAAGAACAGAGATCCAACTAAGAACACGAGAGAGTGCTGGAAACAAACAGTGACTGTACAGAACCAAACCACAAAACGCGCATGTGGGTCTGTACTTATCAACAGTTACCTTTCCTACCTGACACGATAGGCTGCTCCCGCCCCCCAAAGTTGAGTCCGTCGCAGAGTTAGCTGGCTTCCCCGGAACCAGCAGCCAAACATTCACGAAAACACCCCTGCTGCACAAGATGTTTCCTCAGGGAATTAATCCAGACGCCCTCCCCCCACGCTGTGTTACAGTGACAGTCTGTTGTCGCTACTCACACAGGACGATCCTGATCCTTTTTTACCTCCAAGTGGTTTCGATTGTTTGCAGTTGTCTCGGAGGGTTTCCATCGATTAGTCTTGCTCCATCCCAAGGCTGACAACTGAGCCTTGCAGTACATCACCAGCTAACCAGGGAGCGGTGACAACTCCCTCCTGCTTGAGTGGGCCGTCACCAAGACACATTATCCCCTGGTGACTAACTTCTTCTCCAAGCTCATAAAGCATACTGTCAATATAGTTACATGAGTCCCTGAGTATTACTCGTACACGCACCTCACAAGGATTAGGAGGCTTGGTAAGTAAAAGGCTGGCCGTAGATACCTTGCATGTTACCCCTCAGGGATAAATACCCTGCCAGACGTGTGTTTGGTATAGCGAGTTTGTCAGGCCTGAGAAGAGACTCGTTTGGAAAGAAAAGGGGACCCTTTGCCGCGGGTCACAGAGGTCTCAAATAAAAGCCACTGCCGCACCGGTCATCGATATCATTGCACAATGCATGCACAGATACTGTTCTTAAGGGCTGTGTCTAGGGCCTCGCCACTGGCAAAGGGGAAAAGCAGGTTTTCGGTCAGACAAGAAATGTTTTTCTAGCTGGCTGTTTACATGTACATTAAGCAGTGTCTGGTTCACAGTGGGTCTCACCTCATCGAGCCGAATGCAGGATCGAGAAAACTTCAGAAAGAGAAAAGTAATAGGAGGAAGCAAGTGGCACCTATTTTAATTCCCTCTGGGGCGCCTGGCATTGGCCACTTCCAGAAGACAGGACACTGGGCTGGATGGACCTTTGGTCTGACCCAGTCTGGCCGCTCTTATGTTCTTATCTTAAGATGCACCTCGAAGCTTTGCTCTTTAGGACATTTGGGGGACAAAGATGACACCCTGGCATCCTTCGCCTGGGAAGTAAATGGACAGCAATTTGCTTCATGACAGCGGGGTCTCAACCAGGCCTGGCTGAAAACGCTGGAGAGACTCTTGGGCGAGAGAAGCTGCTGTAGACAGGAGGGTAACCTGGTAGCTAAGTGCAGTCTCTAGGAACTGTGCTGTGATTTTGTTTTTCATGCAACCGTTTGTTTCCAATATTCTTATTCGCTGTCCCCGGCATCTCTGTCTTTGATGACAAACTTACTCTCGTTTTCACTCTCAACATATCCAGGTGCTGCGTGCTAAGCACAGTGCTGGCCCCCAGCTCAGCCGTACCCGCGGGTGAGTTCTGTGCGCGCAGGAGGGCTGCGAGTGCCCAGTGGCTCAGGGGAGGGGCGCTCCGAGGACTCGGGGCTTGGCAGGTGCCTATGGCTCCCTGCACGGAGGGACCGGGGCCTGTAGAGGCCTGGCAGGCAGTGCCAGGCTGGTGGTTTCAGGGAGCTGACCCCCAGCAGGCACAGACAAGACTTTGTCACGCTAAAGGCAAGCAGTGGTGAGGGGCCTGAGAACGCCACGTAGATTCCAGACCAGGTCTCTCAAGCGCCAGACTAATGCCCCAGTGGTTAGTGCTCTGCAATGCAGCGCAGGAGATCCTGGCTCGAAGCCCTCCAGGGCCGCAGGGGACCCCGGCTGGCACAGTGCCCTGCAGTGCCAGCACTGATTCCCAGGCCTAGGCACAGGCCGACCAAGGGGACGTCCCACCCCCCTCCAAGGCGGCTCCGTTGGCCTGGTACCTGAGATGGTGGGTGGAGAGTTTCTCCAGCAGCGCGCTGCCCATGCGCTCGCCCGCCACCAGCAGGAGCGTAACGGCGATGTCGTGGTAGCCCTGGTAGTAGTGCAGCTCGGGGTGCGCCCTCAGGATGTGCAGGATGAGGTCGATGAGTTGCTCCTGCAGGACCTGGCGCTGCTCGGCCCGCATGCCTGCGCAGAGACAGAGGGTCAGAGCCCCAGGGCACCGCGCAGTGCAAGCACCCTGCTCCGGCGCCTCCCACAGAGCCGGCCCCCACTGGAGCCCCCGGCTCCCCCACCCTGGCTCTGCTTGGGCAGGGTGTGGTGGGAAGACTGTCAGACAGGAGGCCACTGCAGCGTTCCCTTGGCCTGACCGCAGACCCCTCTAATCCCCTCTGGCAGTTGGTCCCAGCGAGGCCCTCCTGGCCGAGCGCGCTGTGCCTCGGGCCCAGTACCCGGGCTCCGTGAGCTGCCCTGTCCCAGCTGTCTTGGCGGGTCCCAAGCGGAGACGTGGTCTCTGCTGCAGCTGGGCCTGCTTCCTTTGAGGATTAGCACCAAGGCCATGAACTAGAGCAGCCAGCAGCCAGAGAGCCAGGAGCACAGCAGACTGGGACTGGGGGGCCCTGTATCGTCCCTCCCCATCGTGCTGAACCAGCCAGTCCCACATCCAAGCCCTGGCTTATGGAGAAGAGGCAGAGAGGCCTGGGGTGGCCAGCGAGCCCCAGCGCGGGGTGCATGTGGGGAGGGAGCGTGATCGCTGCGTTTGGTGTTGTGAGTTTGTCAGGTCTGAGAAGAGAACGGTTAGCAAAGAACAGGGCCCCTTCGCTCTTCCAGCCTGACGCGCGCACAGAGCTTCCTCACCAAACCTTCTTCAGCCAAGCAGCCCCTGCTGGCCCCATGAAGCCGGGTGAGACTGGTGCCCCACCAACCCTGCCCCAAATGTCCCAGCACCTGGCTGGGCAGATTCACCCCCAGAGACAGCAGGGGAGCGACGGGGAGGGGAGGGAATGAATCTCTAGGCAGGGGGTGTGGGTAGGGGGCTGCTCCAGCCAGACGCTCGGGTGGGGGCTGGGTTAGCGGAAGTTCTAAGGCAGGACTACGGAGGGGGAGCAGGGGATCCAGCAAGGGGCACAGGTACCTTCCGAGGCAGGCAGCTCCCCTCCGGCACCAGCTCTGCACGGCAGAGCCAGGAACAGGCAGGACAGAAAGAAAACATGGTTACCAGGGAGCCGGAGGCAGGCCGGGCTCTGCCCGGTGAGGAGGGGCACGTGCCAATCAGCGGAGTCAGGAGCCTGCGGGGAACCCTGGGCCCCACCTGACTCTAGCAAGGGGGAACCACTTAACCCTTCCCTGGCCACTGTGAGCTGAGAGCAACAGCCCAAGGCAGGAATGAGGGCACAGCCCCTGGGTATACCCCACCCCCTTACAAAGCTACCCGACCCCATCTCTCACACCCCTGGGCAGGAGGTGGCCTTGGGTCTCCGTCCCAGCAGGAGGGCCTCTGGGGAGGGGGGAACAAACACCCCTTCTCCCCTCAAATCCTCCTTTCCCCCAGCAACTCCAGCCACCCTCCCCCACAGTTCCCATGGGAGGGAGGTGAGGCCATCAGGCCCCTGCCACCCGATCCCAGTACACAGCAAAGCTCTCCCCAGCTGCCACTTCAGCCCAGGAAGGGCCTGTGGGAACCTTGCTGCCCACGGGCGCGCCAGGCACCAGGGCACGTCTCACCTTGGGGGAAGCGGCGTGTGGAGCGGTTCACGTCCAGCTGCACTTGGGTGTAGTCCTTGTGGTTCTGGCGGACAGCCCTGCCTGGAGGGAGAGGCCAGCGGGGTCAGGGGCACCCTCAGGGCTAGCAGCGATCCTCACTCCTCGAGGAGCTGCCCGGCTGACATGGGGGGCTGCAGCGTGGACCCCAACTCAGACCCAAGCTCCGCACAGAGCAGGACAATAGCAGAGGCAGCCCCTCCTCCCCACTGCCCCGTATCCCTCCTTGGGTCAGCCTGGCATCGGGGAGGTGAGAGCTTGGGGAGCCTGTCTGAGCCTTTGCCCTCTAGGCCAGGATTGCTCAGTTCGGCACGTCTCCCAGCCACACGGCCCCAGCTCAGTGCCCCCGCAGCCAGCTCTGATCTGCTCAGTGGAGGGCTGGTACCCATACAGCTCTGACAGCAGTTCCAGCGTCACAGTGGCAGGGAGTGCTTTGTGCTGGCTGCCCATCACTAGGGTTACCATACGTCCGGTTTTTCCCGGACATGTCTGGCTTTTTGGTAATCAAACCTCCGGCCGGGGGAATTGCCAAAAAGCCGAACATGTCAGGGAAAAATACCGCCGGCCGGGCACTTCCCCTCCTGCGGCTGCTGCACTCCCTACCTTGACTCTTCGGCTCTGTTTAAAGCAGAGCTGCCCGAGCGCTACCGGCTTCAAGCAGCCCCCATGCCTCCGGACCCCAGCCGCCGGCTGGGCACTTCCCCTCCGGGCTCCGGGGGCGCAGGGTCCAGAGGCAAGGGGGCTGCCTGAAGCCGGTAGCGCTCGGGCAGCTCGGCGCTTACAGAGCCCAGGAGTACAGGGAGCACAGCAGCCACC